TGAGGAACTAAGACAGTAGAAGGAAAAACCCTGAAGTTACAAATAAACTGGGAAAAATAGGATGAGGGAGAAAATACTCCATGTACTTTTACTATCTCAGCTTTAGGCAATTTTCTTCCAGCCTAGACACATGAGAACAGGATGCTTCCTCACAAGATACTGTGTCTCATTAATTCATCAGCTAAGTTGTTGGGGAAAAAAAGAAAAAAAAAAGACTAAAAATAGAACATTTACCAAAAAATGAAAAGGTCCTGAGATTTTTAGTAGAGGTACTACAGACACTCCAGGAATGGATCAAACCTACTGCACTAAGCACTGTATGATCCCAGCAATGCAACAACCACGGGAGCAAACAGCTCACAGGCTGCCTGACCTTTCAGTATGACATTAAGTGGCAGATGCTCTCAAAATGTCTGTGCTGAGATCCCAATGGACCTTTCCTGAGATAAGCCAAAACCTTCCCTGCTGGAAATTCTCTTTTGGTTTAGAAGATAAATACAACTGGTAAAAACTAGGGTTTTTTTTTTACTGGCATAACAGTATAAAGTAGAGCATTTACCACTAGGTGCTGTTAAAGTGAGTGTTCTAACAAATACCAAAGGTTTCTAAGGTAGACCTGGAATACTGCTAGACTTTATTAATGTGAGTGGCTTCACCCTTTCTAAGGGGCATAAGCACTGTTGTCTGTCACCAGGTCCTTGCAGGTTAGGAAAACACACAGATGTGCTACACTGGTCCTGTCTGCATTGCCAAAAACCACATTTCTGACTGTCTTTAGAGTCCTGCTAAAACTAGGGAGAAAGGTTCATTGCTGAGGGCAGCACAGATCCTAAAGCTGGGGTGTTCTCAACTCAGCACACTCACACATCTCATCCCAGGCCAGGAAACATTGGCAGTGTCATTCAGAAAGGACATCCTCTTGAGGAACACCAAGAGTCCTCAGCAACTCCTGTAAATACTCTTGTTGCCAAAGCAAATCCCTGCCAAGATCATCACTGTCAAGGTACCATCAGAACACAAAAATAAACCCAGTGGTCCTCGAGAATGATGCCCGGGGTTGTGGTGCTTTAGTTATGTTGTAAGGGAGTGTAAAGCAGAAAAGGAGCAGGGCTGGGAAGTGGAACAGAGCCACAGCACCAATCCAACTACATGCTCAAGTGAGACCAGAGGGCCACACACTCCCCAAGTCTGAAATGAAGGACTTCCCATGATTAACTCAACTCTGTGTCAGAGCCTGCAGTGGAAACAACAAAGATTTCTGGAAGAAGCTGAGGTAAATGTTCCCTGCTCTTGCCAGTCTAGAGGTGATGGCCCTTTTCAAGACAAAGTCCTTTTACACATCCCAAGGGGAGGGGGCCCACTGCCTGTGGTGTAAGTCTGAACAATAAAGAGCAGGCCCACCAGAGCAGTAACAGGCCCATGCTCACCACACGGCAGTTCTGGTTAATAAAATCAGGGTCCTAAAAAGATGGTGATAACTCATTTATTCAGTCTAGCGAGGTCAGCTGAGCAGAAACTCACACTTGGTAAGGTACTGACTCACGTATCACCCTCTGTGTAAACCACAGGGGTTTGTACCAAGTCACTGTGCACAGGACAGGCAGCAATCCCTCCCCAGGACACTGCACCAGCTTCCATCAGGCTGCTGTGAGAAATGCAGAGCCCAAGGGTTGGCTTCCTGCCGTTTTCCAGGACTCCATTCCCTCTCCCAGAGATACACTGGTCCAGAGATCCCAAGGAAGCCATCGCTCCTTTATTACGTACCCGAACATGGCCACGAGCAGGTTCACGAGGAGGATGTTGGTTGAGAGCATGTAAATGCAGACAAGGGGAATGGTGATCCACTCGGGAAAGCGGGGCTGGTTGTTGGCATCCAGCTCCACACACAGGGGCTTGGACTCGTTCCCAGAAAAGGTGCAGCGGTCAAAGTTGTAGGTGGTACCTCAGAGGGCAAGAGGGGAGAGCAAACTGTGAGTGCCCTCCTCCTCTTTCTGCTGGGCTCTGCTCTGACCACAGTTAGTGTGGCCTCCTCCCTCCCTGCCTTCCCATCAGACCTAGAGGCAAAGGGTCAACATGCAGGTCAACACAGGCCTGGACAACCGCTGGAAGGACAGAGCCTTCCACCCACCCAGCAGAGACCCCCCCAGGGGATAATTACCATCCACATCATCAGGGTACTGGCCAAACATGGCCAGGTAGGGCTCGTAGATGACCGATCGGAAGATCCACTCCCAGCGGTGCTCGTTCTTCCTCAGGATGCCCTGCCTGGCCACTCCAAAGGCCACCATCCACACAGCAAAGAGGAAGAGGAAGAAGAAGACGTCTATCATCTGAAAAAGGACAACAAGCATCAGTGCCCCACCGCACGTCTGTTCCAAGCCACGCGTGGCTTTTTGCTCCCACTTTCACCAACACACAGCCACAAATAACTGACCATCCCCACTCAGGGAACTTCAAAAACTGGATAGCAAACCATAAAGGCATGGCATGTTTTCAAATATAGGATATCCCCCTGGTACCAGCCAGGCTCCACAAGAGCCAGAATCACATACAAGAGCTGTGGCTGCAGCCTCTGGAGCACCCTGTCAGGTGAAAGCAGCCACTCTTCCTGGAAACACCCCTCTGGATGGCTTAAACCAGCATTTATAGCCCATACACCCTGGCTAACAGTTTCTTGAATTTCTAGCTCTTAACAATGCACAGAGAACTGAAGGCTGGTAATACTCCAGCTGAGCTTCCCCAGTTACTACAGATCCACCTCCAGATCTGCCCTCCCACTAGCCCCAAGCATCCTTCTTATTAGACTTCTTTGAAACTACTGTATCAGAGACTCCTCACCACCCTCTTCTCCAGGCACTAGTGTGATGGATGCAGTGGAAGACCAAAATCCTCTTCCTGTACCATTCAGCATCACTATCTAGTTTGGGGAACACCCATGTGGGCAACAGGAGTGATGGGATACACCACTGAAACATCTGAGACACGGAAGCTACCAGGAACAAAATCTCCTCTTCTGTTCTTCAGCCTGATCCTTATTCTTTCCCTTGGCACAGAAAAAAGCCCTGCTCTTAATTACATCCCATTTAAACCTCAATACATCCTGTTCAGCAGAGCTCATTTGCTGCCATCACCAGAACACGGTGATTTCACTCTTGAGGGGGAAAAAAAACAAAATGAAAGGTGTTGCATCATTTATTTAGACTCTCTTGAATAGCTGCCAGAATCTTACCATCCTCTGCAGCATAATAATTTTGGGTCCTAGATTCCTGCTAACTGTGAAAATATGGATCAGCCTCAGAGTAAAAACTATGTAGTCCAAACAGAAAATGACTCTCCCGGAATACCAAGAGCTTTCATCAGAGTGAAGCCTGACGGAGACATTAAAAGAAAATGAAGACAAGTGTTGGATGAAACATGCAGAAATCAGGTAGAAACACAGGGAAACATTGAAATGGAGAGTGAAAAGTGAGTTAACTGGAAAGCAGAGCCCTCTCCCACATGACGACAGAAGTGTTTAATGCACACCTTGTTTACACCCTTCCAGCCTTCCCTGAATCATCCCTGCAGCTCCTCTGATAACAGCAAAGAATTTGTACCTTTAGCTACTCCCACAGCCCTCCAAACCCACCACAGTGCAACAACCCCTCTGCTGCACTGAGCTACCAGCAATAGCCTACAGCTGAATGAACAATCAGCCTGGAAAAAGTGTTTGTATCATTTCTTTGCCATGGTTGTTAACTCATCCCATCACGTAAGACAGCTTCTGGGAGATAACAACACTCTTAGACTGTTGGAGGGACAGTCACAGTCCCCTTAAATACAGCACACTGAAGCTCAAAGAGTCCAGACTGCCAGACTAAGCAGTCAGAAACAGAAGCCAGGGAAAGTCCCAAAGATCTCCTGACTTTATTTTTTTTTTTAAGTTAAGACTTTGCAGTACTTGGGGCCTTCATAAAGAACAGGGAGCTTCACAAACACATTGTTCCCCAAAATCTCATTGCACGTAGTCAAAACCCACAAAGGAAGCAAAGTCATAACACAGCCACAAGAAAAGGTACCACTCACCTGAACACAATCCCTGCTATGAAGTAGAAGATTGCCAGTGTATCCATAACATTCCACGGATCTGAGAAATACTTACTGCCATTCATGTACCACTGGGAAGGAAAAAGAACAGAAAGTAACCCCCAAACAACACAATTTCCTTGCCCAATTTTTTTTTTTATTTGGTCACGCAATAGGTGCACCAGAGTTCAGATTGCTTTTAATTTCCCCAGTAAGAGGGGGTTTAATATATCCAGCAATGCCAGAAATTACTGGCCACCTGTTTTCAGAATCTGGGTGTGACCCATTAAGAGCAATGAAACACTGGGGGGACACAGGGGGGTCACTTTTAAGGGTAGCTGATGAATTCTGGCTTCTCTTCTTTCACAGAGGTCATTCAGGAACCTGTCCCTGGCTACATGCACATGCTTTGGATCAAAGATGCAGAATTAATTTATTCCTTTCTTGACCTGACTCTCCATTTTTGACTTGTAAGTCTAGTGAGAATCTCTGCTCATTCCCAGACTAACTGGCACTGCAGCCTGGATCCAAAGTTTCTGCAAGAACCAACGTCCTGAATCAGTTCAGAGATGACTCCTGAGGAAAGAAGTTTAATCAGGAGAAAGCTCTGCCAGGCCTATAGAAATAAACTGTGTCCCTGATCATAATTCCTTTTAATTTTTATTGAAATGATCAAAGTTTAAGAGAGTACTGGTCAGTGAATCTAACTGGCATATCCAAGGAAAGTGATTCTGCTCTCAGTACCATTATGGGACACAGAGATCAAGGGGAGTGTTCTCCTAGGTGGAAAAGAAGCAGTAAGTAGAAAGCCCCACTTTACTATTCCAATGGCATTTCCTTCACGTGACGGGATGCACAGCTAAATTGGACAGGGTGGCAGCTGCCAGGGTGCCAGGCTCAGGAAATACCTTCGAAATTCATGCCAGGCAGTATTTCAGCATCTCAGGGGACACACAGCCCTTTCTTACTACTTAAGGCACCAAAGGCTGAGCAGTGAGTGGGGAAAGCATGTCTCACACCCGTGACATCAGGTTGTCTCTGCCCAGTAACTCCCTGAATCAAACAGAACAACCGAGACTGTGGAGCAGGTCAGTCCTCAAATTCCAAGCAGTTCCCACTGCTGGGGCTTCACATGCACGGAGGTTCTGCCCAGACTCCTCCTCTGTCTGAGAAAATGGAGCTTTCCTGCACACCCCACCAGTCTACCCACTCACCTGGCTGGAGGCTAAATCCATGTGGCTACAGGCACAGCAGGGAAAAGGTCCCTCCGATCTCACTATGGCCATGACAGCTCTAAACGGGACATGAGAGAGCAGCTCCAGCCAGTTACTCATCTCTGGGACCAGCAGAACTGAAAACAGGGCTGAGCCAGTGGCTCACGGTTCAGATACGGTTCAGTTCTCCTGCTTTAAGTCTGGAACCATGTCTAGTAGCTGTCACTTCCACAGCCACCTCGCTCTCCGACCAGAGGGCTGATTTCTCCCCAAAACTGATCATCCAACTGCAGCAGCTACAGTGGGAACCCAGCCAACATTACTCTTACTTTTCCTTGGATGTGAAAACAAAATTTGGCACATCCCTAGCTTTTTTTTCTTTTAAAAATTAAGGACGCAGATACTATTTTGATGCAGAGTTAGACTAATCCACACACAATGTATCTTGGAGGAAGCCAGGGAGAAATTTCCCCGAGAAGCTCAGAGGATTGAAAGACTTTTCTGTGTTCTGCTCCTTGGAAGAACAGCTTTGAAGTCAGGACACTGGCTTGAGATAACTAAACCTTCACCAAAGTCTCTGTTTTAGCTGCTTCCGCTCCCACGGCCAAATTGGCCACCAGTTACTAACAGGATTACTGAGATCTGCAGCTGTTCTACCTGCTCAGGATGGCAAGAAAAAGGGACACTGGTAGGAATTTAAGGTTTCTATCCCTAAGGTATTTCCCCAGGACTTTTGCTAGGTACACACAGGAAGTGCAAGGACAGGTCCAGAGACACCAGAACCTAAATCAGCAGAAACAAACACTCCATTAGTGTTTTCATTGCAAAAGAGTCTTGTACTTCTCTCCCACTTTCCTTAGCAAGTAAACTTGACATAAACAAGGTTCCACCTTAAATATTAAAAAGGGAAAAGACCACAATAACATCAACATCAGAAACGTCATCTGAGCTCATGTAAAAAGTGTTTTTGCAGGGTGGGAGGATCCAGCAGATCACCCACAAACACTCGTGCCTTACAGGAGTCAGAAAACAGCACTGCACCAAACCACACACCCACCCACTGCTCTTCTGATTTCCCCTGCATGTTCACACTGCTCTGAACACTGACTGGCAGAGACCAGCTTGCCCAAACCCCAACCATGTCATGTGTCCCCTTACATATGAATTGAGAAGATACCAGTATGGGGCTGGCTATAAAGGCTGTCCTGCATGCTGTTCCCATACCACAGCTAATCTGGTCCTACATCAAGCTAGTAATAACTGTACAGGTGATTAAAAGCTAAACAGAAATACGTAAAGGGGTGGGATGTGGAGAAGGGAAGCTGGGATCACTTGATCCAGAGGTATGCACCCGGATAAATGTGCTAAATCTAACCCTTTATTCTCAACTGCTTTGGCAAGCCAAGCATTCCTGAGGAATATCTGCACTGGCATCGGCTTACCCACACACTCCTCTTGGTGCATGGACACTGCAGCTACTGGGGCACAAGTAGAAATTAAATATCAGAGGAAAAAAAAAAATATTCATTGAGCCTTGAGCTGCCTGAACACCTCCCCACCCCCCCAGACATCCCCCTGTCCCTGAGCACCAGCCTGTGCTGCCTTACACTACTTGGAGGGGGAAAACCACAGGCCTTGGCTCTAACACTGAACACTTGGGTTGCAAGCGCTGCCTACTTGTCTCACTTCATCACAAAGCAGAATGAAGACCAGCACGTAAAGGATGATCTCCAGGGCAGTGGGCTCCTTCTGGAAATCCATAAGCAACACGTAGGCGAAGAGCAACAGGAAAGCGATGTAGAAGATGACATTCCAGGAGAAGACCACGAAGGGGGAGGTGAAGAAAGACACGTAATACAAGAAGAGTTTCTTACTCCTCTCCACAGGCTTTTTTCTGAGGGATTAAAAGAGGGAAAAGGTCTCAAAGCACAGCTTTTATGCCTGGGAACACTTGTGTTCTTCAAAGCAAAAATGAGGAAGGTGCAAAGTCTATCACAGGATGTTACTTTAGAGGTGAAGCCATCCTGCATCCACTTACCTCAGGCACTTCAGGAAACTGGTACATCTTCCAGGTCAGGCTGGAGGGCCTTGGAGCAACCTGGTCTAGTGGAAGGTGTCCCTGCCCATGGCAGGAGGTGAAACAAGATGGGCTTTAAGGTCCCTTCCCATCCAAACCAGTCTGGGATTTTGCAATCTTAACTCCAAGATCAGAATGAAGACAAGCTGTTAAAAGCTCATTCAGGCTTTTAATATCTTTGAGACTGACTGAATACTAGAAAAGGTTTTTCAAGGGGGCTGTGGAGTCTCTGACCCTGCAGATACTCAAAACCCAACTGGACAGAGTCCTGGGCAACCTGCTCCAGCTGACCCAGTTTGAGCACAGGGTTGGACTGGGTGATCTCCTTCCAGCCTGAACTGCCCTAGGATTCTACAATTAATTGACTTGCTTGCTTTCTGCTAATGAGAAGCCAGTTAATTACCTGAATGAGATGAAACCACAGCCTATTAAAGGGAAAAAGAACAGGCACAGTATGATCTTCCAGTTCTTAGTGTCTCTTGAAATCTCTCCGTACCACTGCTTGGAAAGGAAGTTCTGCAGGGAGGAAGAAAACATTCTCATTAGTTCTAACAGCAACAAAACAACCTAGAAGTGCTATTAAAAACCATTTGATTTAGTAAAAAAAACCCAAACTTTGAGCTTTCATCAAAATACTTGAGATTTCTGTTTCAACAATAAAGAAAGCTTTCTGCATCAGTAACCATGTGCCGGGTCCTTAGTCCAGCCATTCTCCATCTCTGTGATGAGGAGTTAAAAGCGAGGCTGAGAGCAGGACTGGACCTGATTGATAAGATACATATAAATCATGACCTTTTATGTAATGCCCATCCACACCAGGCATTAAATCCACACTGCGCACACACAGAGCTGTGCCAAGGCAGAAATCACTTCAGGCAGTCTCTACCCTCCAGCTCATTAGGATTTACAACTTTAAACCAAGATTCTTCCCTCCTGACTTAGCACTTGTGGGTAAATCAGCCGCCTCCTATTTCTACAGGAGGAGCCACACCCACAGTCAGGTCCCAGGAGTTACAGCCACCCGAGCACCTCCTGTGCACTGCCATTACCTGCACACCTGGCTGGGCAATGAACTGTTGGTCTCTGGCTTCCACTGCCAGTTCCAGACAGTTGCTCTCTCCCCAGGCTTCACAGGAATAAGTCAGCAGCTGCTCAGCCAGATCTTCGTCGCTGCTGTAGCACTCGGTGAACAGCTCTGCAGGGAAGAGGCAGCCCCACACTGAGATCCAGCTTCCACTTCCCACCAACTTGGGTGCAATTGTCTTCAGGATAACATTTGTAGCATCAGAGCATGCAGACACAAGAACTCCTTTCACGTTTTCACCACTGTAGAACGATGTGTGCACTGCTTTACAACCCCATTTGCGCATGTTTAGAACTCATGTGTGGACGGAAAACTGTAACACTAAATTAGCTCACACGAGAGACAGCATTAGGTTGAGATCTGCACTAAAAAACAGAGTAAAAAATACAACCTTCTCCTTAAATCACTTGGTATGTCTACCTATTTCATCTTCTTTTCTTAAATTCCATTTGGCACTGATCTAATGAATTACAGTCATTCCCATATTAAGGGCTGGAAAAGGTCAGAATCCGATACTTTTTCACTGGGAAATGCTTTGTTCACCCATTCACTCCTCAGTGTCTTGTTAAATCAGACCTGAGGGATGTAGATACTTGCAAGAAAGTCTATTTAAGCAGGTTTTGCCCCGTGGAGTAGGAGATACTTTCTGGTAACGAGCAAAATATTTTCAGTGTGGCCTTGTGCCACTCCTTATAGAATCACAGAACCATTTAGGTTGGAAAAAATCATTAGCCCAACACTGCCAAGCCCACCAACAAACCATGTCCCCTAGTGCCATAAAACAATATCCATCCTTGGAGACTTTCAAGATGTGGCTAAACAAGGCCATGACTGAACTGATCTAGTCCTGTGGTACCACCACCTCAATGAGAAGGTTGGACTGGAGGCCTCCAGAAGCTCTTCCAGCAACATTTCTATGGTCTCCTATTCAACCTTCCTATTTTTCCTACTCAGCTACTTCCTATCACCCCCTTTACCTGTCCCCTGCTCTGACTCAGGGTGGTGACACACCATTTTCTGCACCAGGCAAGACAACAAGGCCATAACCCCTAATCAAGCCCCAGAGGCAACACTGTGTTTTATCTCCCCCCAGGTTTAGGAGCCAAGATCCTGCACCACAGGATCCTGTCATCTTGGAATAAGGAAGGGATATGATTTTGCAGTTCAGAATTTAGGAATCCAATATACTATTTACCTGCAATTTATTCTCACTCCCCAAAAGTGCTCCTGCAAATTTGAAGGGTGGCTTTTCCCAACCTGAATATTACACCAGTGCTCATGTGGAAAGCTTCTCTTTCTCCATATTCTCCCCCCTGTTTGTGGGCACCCATCTTCAGCCTTGCCATTAGAGTAAAGCAGCTTTTATTACCCCACAAAAGAAATTCTCTACCTCAAAAAACCCACCCCTCAACACCCACTTTTGGAGGCAAGTTGTTCAGACAGGACACAAGCTGTTCAGACAGGACACACAGTTTCTACTGAGAACAGACGGTGTAGAAGAGATTTCCAAGCAGCAGAAACACATGTTGACACTAAAGAAGAATATTTAATGTTGGATATCTAGTTTTCAATTCCCTGATCTCTGACCCCTCCTACTAAATTTCTAAAGAACTTAGAGAGAAGGCACTTACCCACTGCTCTTGTCTCATACTCATTAGCAAGTTCCTCAGACTCACCAGCAGCATTTATATCATTCTTCACCTTGGCCAAGCTTTTCAGGAGCTTGCTGGCCCCAAGGGCTGCCAAAGTGCAGCCTCTGGTCTGTGGAGAGAGAGAGAGTCAAATCATGCAAATCCCTCTGTGAAGAAAACATGGTCATAGAACCATAGGACCAGAGTGGTTTGGGTTGGAAAGGACCTTAATGACCATCTCATCCCAACCCCCTGCCATGGGCAGGGTCACCTTCCACTAGACCAGGTGGTCTGTGATTCTGTGATCATTAAATATCCTGTCTAATCCAAATTAGAAATGGATTTCAATTGAACACCTGGAACCAGAACCCACCCATGTTGTGGAATGGGTGGGAACTCAGCATCCAAGCTTGAGCACAGACGAGGACATGCAACTGGCTTGGCCTGCTGACTCACACATGACCCTAAGAAATGACCACACCAAACTCAAAATGGGCAACATTAAACCAACTTAGAGTCACCTAGCAATTATGTCTTCTGCTTTTGTGTCTGAAGATGGATCCAGAGCCTTCAGAGGCCTATAAACCAAAGACAGAGAACTCCACTGTAAGGAATACAGGAGAATTCAACTTACTTGCTCCCAAATGACTTTAGACAACTCTTTCTTGTTCTGAAGAACTGACCAAATAAACAGAGCTTGTAGTGGGTGCCTTGTGATAGGACACTCCTCCTGAAAGAGAGAGCAACAATCCCTCAGACCTAAGCTCACCAAACTGTTCTCAACTGGAACAAATCCAAGCCTGCCACTCTCTGGTTTTCACATTGTCTTCCTTTTACAGCCAGCCCACCAACCCTCTCTCTCATCTCTCTGCCACTTGTCACACACTGCTGTGAGTTAGGTTATATTTGGTATTTATAATAAAGCCTCAAATCAGTCTCCCTGTTTTCCCAAAGGTGGCATTAAAGGACATTTGAGTCAAAGTCACTTCCTGCATTAACCAATTGAGGTTGAAATAACCTCATTCCCAGTGGGATCCACCACTTACTGAGAGGTGTATCTCCATCTCATCCTTGCTGTTTTTGTAATCCCTCTTGACCCCTCTTCGGAAGTCCTCAACCATCTTCCACACGAAGGTGAGGAGGGCATCGTTGTAGGAGTTCTTGGCGATCTGCAGGTTCTTGAACACCAGGCTGCTGAAGTTGTTGGTGTACAGCTCTCTCAGGACCTCTGTGGTGAGGAACTTGCGCAGGTTCAAGCCGTTTTCCAGGAACAGCCGGACAAATTTGGGCCTGTCCTTCACTAGGGCTGTGAACATCACGTCCTGTAAGTCAGCAGACTAGGAGGAAATGGGAAAGCAATATTAGGGAGCATGTGCGCCATGTAAAGCTCACCTAAGGCCTGGCACGTGGCTTACTCACCTTTTCACCAGAACCAGTTTTTTTCTGCATGGAATTGCCTTTGTTGGATGGCCCAGAGCACTTTTGGCATGGGCAGATCACCTTTGTAAACAGTGACCACAGAATCATAGAATCCATAGAATAGGATATCCTGAGCTGGAAGGGACCCTTAAGGATTGAGTCCAACCCTTAGCTCTGTCCAGGACACCCCAAGAATCCCACACTGCACCTGAGAGCATTGTCCAAATGCTCCTTGAGCTCTGGCAGCCTTGGGATGCCCCTCTTCCCACAGCCCCCTGTCCCACTCCCTGTACTCACACAGGAGGGGTTTGTACCTCCCAGTTCCGGTCATTGGTGAAGATCTCATCGCTGGCCAGGTCCAGCTGGTTCCACTCCAGCAGCAGCTTCAGCTGCCCATTCCAGTTATCCCTGTCGTGTTCGTTGGTGCTGAAAGCTGCAGAGGGGGAACAACCTCTAGGTAAAGACCAGAGAGCTTCCTGGCATGATTATCTCTGCTTCTCATGCCACCTGACAGGACTCCTTCCGAGTGTCTTTCCCATCTTCCTGAAAGGCTTTCGGAGGATGCTGGAGGCTCAGAGACATAAATATGGTCCAACACAAGCCACAGAAGAGCTGCCAGGAACACTCGTAACCAAAATCAACACAAGTGTCGTGCAGGACACAAGGAGTCTCCTTCAGGCTCCTCAGTGTCCTGCAAAAGGATTCCCAATGGGGCCCTACCAGCATCCCCAGAGCTCTCCTAAATCCCTTCCCAATCACCTGGCTTGGATCTCACCCACACTAACAGATCCCACAATGTTGCTGTAGCCTGCCCACACCACTCCAGATGAAGACAAGCTCTACCCTGTGGCAGGAGTGTAGAGAGATGGCACTGCTCTAAGGAAAACTGTTCTAGAAAATAAATAACCATCTTTTCCCATTTATTTTAAAAACCCAAACAAACTCCAACCAGGAAAAACAATTACTTGCCTTTGTACAGAGCAAAGGAAATGGCATTGCTCACAATTTCATCTCCAGCTTCTTCTATTTTGATCACTGTCAGTAAATGAGGGTTCTCAAGGACTTCTTTGATCTACAAAAAGAAAAAGTTCCATTTCAAAGCAATCAAGGTTGTCCAGTAGTTGATCTCCTAGAGCATTTTAAAAAGAAATTTCCCACCACATTGTGACAAAGCTGCTTCTCATCAGTCTCCTTTCCACCAATAGTTAAAATTTAAATAAGCCCAAATACAAATAATGAGATTTATTTTAAAGTCACCAAAATACAAGATTAATTATCCTCTGAACATACAGCAAATAACTGATTCCCCTATGCAGAATAAAAAGATATACTCTCAGTAATTAGAAGCTACTTATAAAGTAAAAAAGAAGATTGTGAAGCACAAGTTTCAACAAATGTCAAACAACTTGTTAGAGACCAGTCTCTACCTCCTCGTGCTTTGTCAAAAACGGAGATAATTTCTCACATAATGAAGCTTTATGGAGTTACTTCCATTCTAGCACACAGAAAACAAAGAATCTTGGCCACTCCTGACTGTTGGAGTAGTGCTTTAGGAAGAATTTGTAATGGGATAGCTGGAAACTGTTTTCTGCCTAAAAGGTAACTCCTTCTCAAAGGCAGTTTCAATGCTGAAAGCAGCCTCAGATTTTTCAGGAGCTGCACTTTCTTCTGTCCCCATTAAGGAGGGCAGAAGCGTAAGAACAGGTCCACCTGAGGGTCAGGTAACCAGAGGTACAACACATTCCTGAGACTGGGCCAAGCAACCCAAAGCAGCAGGTGCTTTCCTCACTTCTCCAGTCTTCCCAGCCTCCAGAAAACACTTGTAATACAGTTACACATGGCATCACAATGGTGACTACCTCTGGTCCAAGAGGCAAAAAAAGGGCAAAAGAAGAATGTTTTGGTGTATATTCAGTGCTGTGTCTTCAACTGCATTCCATGTACACAGAGCCAGTAAATCAAGCTAACAGAGTCACAGTGAAACACTGCCCCAGTAAGCCTCTACCCCTAAACATCCCACTCCTGGTGGGAAATGCCTCCTGCCCCATGGCTTTCTTCCTGCATGCCTTAATAAAGGAGCTTAGGGAAGAAATGACAGAATTCTGAAGTAGAATCACTGCAATTTGAAAGTCTGTGCAGCAGCAGCAATAACCCTTTCTCTCTGAGCAATTCTGGAACTGCAACACCAACCAGCTCATCAGCCAAGAGACACATCCAGCAGCCAGTGCTTCAGAGGAATCACAAGCATCCAGGAGCAGACAGTCACAAAACATCTGGCCTTAGCTCTCCTGGGTCTAGACATGTGCTGACTTTCCAAAAGATTGGGGCCCCCCACCTCCCTGTATCCTGATCCCTGAGAGAGTCTGGAATTTTCTTTTTTTTTAAATCCCCATGGACATAACATGGCAAGGAGCCCTGCACATCCCACAGCTATCACCAGATATCCCCGGACCCCTCTACCCTCCTCCCGCTTTCAGCTCCCACAGTCCCACTCACCCACTTGATCCAGCTTTCAGTCTCCTCTTCCGAGAGCCTGGAGATGGTGCGGGGCAGGAACCTGAGCAAGCTCTCCTTGACACAGGAGGAAGCAGGAGTGCCCTCTGCCTCCACCAGGCTCGCAATGACATCCGCGATCCGGCCAGAGCCTTCCACCACCACACAGGGAATCTTACTCTTGATGGCCACGTTGATGGACTAGGGAGGCAGAGAGGGAGAGGGGATCACCTGAAGCATGACTGTGTTATTAGAGCCTGCTACTGAGTAAGAAAGCCTGGAGAGCAACAGAAACCCACAGTCCAGAAGAGTATTTCTATTACTGTCCACTCATACATTATCAATGACAAGCCTTTAAAACATCACCCATCTAATGACAGAAGTCCCACAGAAACTGAGGGGCAGACATCACCATCTGCCAGATTTTTATAGAGTCACAGGATGTTTTGAGTTGGGAGGGACCCTGAAGACCACCTTGTTCCAACTCCTGCCATGGGCAGGGACACCTTCCACTAGACCAGGTTGCTCAGCTTTTGAGTTGATGGGCAAATCAGGACAACTGACAAGTGGAAATGGTATTCAGGTCACATAACACTGGCCAGCTCCAGTCACTGCTGGTTATGGCACAGCACTGCTCAGGTACCACCACAGCTGAGAGCAAGAGCTCTGGATTTACGTGCAGCAGCATTTACAGAGCGCTACTTCTGTAGCGCCAGCAGAACATCGAACTCTGATGTTACTGAAAGTCTCCAAGTAGCCACTTGCGTGATTTCTCACACAGCAATGCTGTACATGGACCAACAGCAAGAAAAAAAACTTGTTGAAATCACGATGGAAGGACCCTTACCCCTGTTGCAAAGACCACAACAGCAAACATTGATTTCATTTGCGTCACTACACTGAAAACAGACTCACTGTCTGCCAGCAAACTGTACAAGGGGAGTCCATGCAAGTTATCATCAAGCACTGGAAAGACATATTAGCAATGAGACAGTTTTCTGAGAATTAAAAAAAAAAAAAAATCAACTTGTAGTCATCAAAACCACAGGCAAGTTCCTCCTGTCAAGTGGGGAGCAGGTCTGTGACAAAGGCAAGGTGTTTTTTCTTACCAACTACATCAGAGTGGTTTTCTAAAGAAGGGTTCAGCTGAAGTGCATGTTTTACATCACAGGGAGTTTAAAACAGAAGCTTGGAACAGTTTTATTTCTCCTCTGCTAAAGTTGATTCTTGTTATCACTCACAGAAGCTGAGAAAGAGGGAGCCTTTCCCTGCCAGCACTGCTAAGTTTGAGGCCTGGCTAGGCCAGACCCCCACAGCATGGAGCCTGCTGTGTCATTTGGGCTGATCACAGACCCAATTTACTCCTTCAGAAAAGGTCTTCACCTACAAATGAGCAAGAAGGCAGGCACGGGTGTCTCAGTGCACTTAGTGCCACTGAGAAATAAAACTCAGGACAAGAGGACACGGCCTCACATTGCACCAGGGGAGGATGAGGTTGGACATTAGGAACACATTCTTCACTGAAAGGGTTGTCAAGCACTGGAACAGGCTGCTTAGGGAAGTGGCAGAGTCACCATCCCTGGAAGTGTTCAAAACTGCACGTGAGGATGTGGTTTGGTGGTGAACACGATGGTGCTACATTGTTGGACTTGATGATCTCAGAGGTCTTTTCCAACCTTAATAATACTGTGATTCTATTAAATAGCCAAGAGACTGGCATAGGTACTTAACTGAATCATCATCCAGTTACTTTCCAGAGGAACCTCTTGCTAGGAATAATGCATTTGATTTAACAAGGCTTTCACTCATTCTGACTAGCCACTAAGTCTGTGTTACATGTCATTGCTTAACAGTGGGTCTGAGGTCTCTTTATAACATATGTGTAATTCCATGGCACATAGAGTCAGTTCCTTCAGTGATGGCCAAATCCTCTCTTTAAACATCAGCAATTCAGAGCTAAAAGAAGATGGACACATTCAACACATCCTTTTGAGCACAGCTTTCCCCTAAAACCTGAATGGATCCTTCATTTCATCTCAGAACCTCTGAATAACACTCTGCATCCATATTCCCCTACAACCTATCTGTGGGAAAGCAAAAATTAACCACGTGAATGGAACCAGAACACCCAGGAAACGTACAGGAAGGGCTGGGATAACTGAAATTTCACACAGTGGTTCAGACTAATTGATTAACATCAGCAGTGAAGTGGTAGCACACCTGCCAAGCAAAATAGTTTGAGTAACTTCATTATTAACAGGAGAACAGAAAAGTACCAAGATCACCTCTTCAAACAAAAAAAAACATAAATATCACTCTGCTTCAATTTTGCTGTCTTCATGGGAAATAAGTAAAAGAAATAAACTTACTTTCAAAGTCTCTTTCCCTCCACCTTGGGCAAAACACACAATTGGAATCTTCCCACCATAATTAGATTCTGTGAAACAGGCCAAAAGTAAAATGAAGGACAAGGATTAAATCTATTAATGCAGAACAACTTATTTTTCCTGAGTACAATGAAAGAATTTCCAAGCAGTTCATGCAAAAACTAGTTTGACATTGATTTTGCCACAGTTATTAACAGCTTTTCCTGTTTTTAAGGAAAACTCAGTTTTGACTAACATTCTGCATAGCTGGCTTCAGACACGCTTCTCCAACAGAAGCTTTTTCCTGCTAGAAATCAAATTTTTTTCCTCCAAAACTTGATTTTATTGTATTTTCCTACTGCTTTGACCATTTTGAGTCTCAGTGAAAGGTGAGCTCAGAGGATTGTATCTTGAACTTGTGATAAGAACATTTTCAGTTGTAAAGGAAAGCTAAGAATCCCGTAACTCTAGAAGCTACTGTTCGAGAGACATTCCAAAAAACCCCCAATCCCAAACAACAACCCCCCCCCAAAAAAACTCTTTAACTAAGAATTTCCTGCCAAGGTCTTTGATTTTTTTTTTTTGTCTCATTTTGGTAAAGAAGGGGGTGAAAGACAAATTCTTTAGGAGCAGGTTGCAGATGGCTCAGTCAACCTCACACATAAACATTTTGGGAAAAGCCTAATTTCAGTTCCTGCGTAGTTGTGCTTCAGCTACCCAGAATTCAGTGCCAGGTGGGATGTGTGTAGAAGGGTCAGCTTCCAATAGGAGGTGAGGGAAGGGCTGTGTGGTTGGAATGGGAGCATTTGTTGTGACATCAAGACAGCAATATGAGGGGAGGTGTTGATCTGAAAAGGTCTGGTAGCTCCTGAGAGCGCTCAAGATGCAACACAGCGCACACACACACACACACACACACACATACATCCCTTCCAGCTCAGCATCCACAGGACGTTGCCACTGCTTTGTCATTCCCAGGAAATCGCTGTGCATCCCCCCCCCAGCATGCAAGGACGAGGAGGAGGAGGTCTGCACCCCGACCCCCACACGAACCTGGGATAACCCGCTCCGAAATGTACTTCTCCAGCTGGGTCCGTACTTTGGCCTCCGTGGTCGGGTGCCCGTGGGTGCCGTTGTCCACCAGCAGGAGATGGGTGTGGTTGTTATCCAGGCAATACAGTGGGTCTCTCTTGAGGTCATCCATGATGTAGTGGGCCAAGTAGTTTCCCTAGAAGCACAAGCACAGTGTTGAGAGAGACCCAGGGACAGGGAACACAGAGACCTCCCAGGACAAGGACACACCTCGCTGGGAGGGTGGGGAGGCCCTGGCACAGGTTGCCCAGAGAAGCTGTGGCTGCCCCATCCCTGAAGTGTCCAAGACCAGGTTGGATGGGGCTTAGAGCAACCTGGGCTAGTGGAAGGTGTCTCTGCCCATGGCAGGGCATGGAACAAGATGGGCTTTTAGACCCTTCCAACCCAAACCATTGTATGATTCTATGACAAGCCATGACAGCTGAACCCCAAGCCACCAGCTATTCCTCATTAGTTGGGAGTCCAAATTTCCTGACTCAGGACATGCTCACTGGCAGTACCAACAGCAGCAGAAGGCAGTGAGAGAAGGTAGCACAGGGGCACAGCATAAATATTTGCAGAGAAAGTTTTTCTTTACAAGAGCTGCCTGATTTGTCATGATCCTCCTGTAACTCCACCTCAGCCAACAGAACAGTCAAAGTTATTTGCAACAGTTTAGTCCTTTCAGAGATCCAGTTAAATTCATGCTTCCTTCAGCCACCAAAAACATTGCATCTGTGGCATACTTAGTTTCACAGAATCACAGAATATGCTAAATTGGAAGGGACCTGCAACGATTATCGAGTCCAACTCCTGGCCCTGCACAGGACCATCCCCAAGACTCACATCATTTCAACACCTCACAGAATTTTTTAGGTTGGAAGAGACCCTCCTGAGATCATCTAGTTCAACCCTCGAACATCTTTGGAGCCCTCAACAAACTGATCTGCTGTTATTTATCTAGTGGGACGGTTTTTTAGACATGTTCTGTAATGTCTAGTGGACAAGAGACAAGGGGAGCTACGCAAAGTTGGATGACAGTATCAATGAAGATCCTTAACAACAGCAGCAGCAGGTACAACCTGTCTAAGCCAGTGGGAATCCCCACTCTGGGTGAGTGCATAGGGATTTTCCTGGAGCTAGAATAACCATGGAAGAGGTCATTCCCTAATGCAACACCAGACATGGAATTAGGGCTGCTGAACCTCCACACAGACGTGCTCAAATCTGGCACAGTTGAAATCCTCCTCACCAGGCCTGAGGTGTGTGACTGTCTTAGACACTCCAGTTTCCTCCTGTTCTGGGAAGAGCACCTGATGTTTTGAGGCCAAGCCTCCTCTTTCTTTCCCACCGCCCCATCCACGTGGCACTTGGGGGGACACGGTTAGGTGGTGAACACAGTGGCTGTGCTGGGCTGGTGGCTGGACTTGATAAAGGTCTATTCCAACCTTAACCGCTCCCCGATCCCCGTTCCTTACGTCGCTGTCGGCGGCGCGGATGAGGCTGTCCCGGTTGGAAATCATGCCCCAGGCCGCTATGCCAATGGCCACCACGTTCTCCTCCGAGCTGCGACTGATGGTGTTGTCTCTGACAACCTCCCCAATGTACTTCATCAGCCCATAGTGAGTGCCCCCGGTGAAAATCCAGGCCCCTGCAACAACACCCAGTCACCCGGGGAATGCAGGGAAACGCCCGCGCTCCCCTGCCTTCAGACACAACCACCCAAACCCCTCTCACGACCTTAGAGCAGGTGCTTGTTTTTCAATTAAACGCAAAAGATGTGTTACACAACTCACCTTATGCTACCCTGGGCACCCACAACTAACTCTCGACCCTGTTACTTCCAAACCATGGAGTCACACGTCCCAAACGCACCAGCCAGCCAGAAGCAAACAGAATGCTCTGCTTTCCTCCTCACCCTTTGAGCTGCTGCCTCTCTGACACTATCCTGCAGCGATCGGCCATCACGGGCACAAAAGCAGGTCCTTACCCTTGGACTGGGCGATGTAGATCAACCTGCTGAATATCTTGCGCATCCGGGGCTTGAGCGCGAAGTTCTTGGCTCCCCCAGTGACAGAGATGACGAGGTTTGGGGTTTTCAGGTGCCAGTGCTGGGTCATGAGGTCGTAGAGTGTTTCGGAGTCTGTGTCGCACGACAGGCGGATGTACTTGGTGAGAGGAGAGAGAGAACAAACACAGCAGCATAACCAAATATCCCAGTCCCGGCTGGGGACAGAGCGGGGACTGTGCTTTCTTCTCTAGTGCACGGCCTCATTCCAACAGCCAGCAGGGATGAGGGGAAGTGAGGATGAAATCCTTGTTTCCTCCTCCAAAACACCTTTATCCTTCCCCTGCAACCAGGCACCCAACCCACCTTCCTCTAGAGAGGGCAAAAGCACTGACCCCGGGGTTCAGAGGAACACTGCAGGGATGAGCACACCACCAGCATGACAATTTCAACTGTAACAATGCTATTTATAGCTTACATCACAAATCAGTGGAAGCACCATTGCAAGGGAACTAATAATAATGACAGTTGTGTTTTGATTTAATTTAACGAACTACAAATTCCAGGCTCCATGTGTGTCGTGCCCCTGTCACAACACACACCCATAGCAGCGTTTCAAGTATAACACATAACTGTATCAAACATGTAGTACAGCTTGAACTCTGGCTTTGTCTTCCTTTGCTATTCAAGAGCCCCTTCACAATGGACTTTTGGCAGACAGCCACAGCTACACAGCCCATATGGGGGATGAAAGGGAGCAGCTCAGACCTGAATCATGGAGGATCTTGTACAGATTGCCCAGTATTTACAGGAGAGCAAAACCAAAGGATTCGTTTGAGGAAGAAAAGTCCCTGAGACGCTAAACTTGAATGAAAGAACATATGCCTGTGTTCCAGGACAGGTTCCCAGGAGGAGTGGCATTTGGCTCAGAACAGAACATCACAGAGGATGACTGGCAGGCTGCAGCACCGACACAGGAGAGCTAAGGGTCTCCCTCAGCTTCTGCTCTGAGAAGCTTCAGCCACATAAAGCTTTGGGTGTTTTTCAGGAGAGGGTCCCCCCTAGGAAAGTGGAGGCTACCAGTATATTTAACTGGTGAGCCAGTAAACTACACCCAAGGCAAACCTCATCAGAGCCCCTCGGCTGAGCCACTTCCCTTCTCCTCAGTGCAACGGTGCCATCTCCTGGTGCTGCTGGATCCTGCTCCTGACCATGGCCACGATTCAGAGAAGCCTTCTGGGGACTGACAGCTCCCAGAACATAAAACACAGCAACTGTGATGTCCCTGGGTGTTACAGGGTTCGAGCAGCACAGCAGGAACAATGAGCTCGAAAGCAGGACTTATTGAGAGCAGAGATTTTTATAGAATCCCAGGATAGTTTGGGTTGGAAGGGACCTGAAAGCACATCTTGTTCCATCCCCTTGCCATGGGCAGGGACACCTTCCTCTAGCCCAGGTTGCTCCAAGTCCCGTCCAACCTGGCCTTGGACACTTCCAGGGATGGGGCAGCCACAGCTTCACTGGGCAACCTGTGCCAGGGCCTCCCCACCCTCACAGGGAAGGAATTCCTTCCCAATATCCCATCTAATCCTGCCCTCTGGCAGTGGGAAGCCATTCCCCCTTGTACTGTCACCCCAGGCCCTTGTCCCAAGTCCCTCTCCAGCTCTCTTGGAGCCCCTTTAGGCCCTGAAAGGGGCTCCAAGGTCTCCCTGGAGCCTTCTCTTCTCCAGGTTGAACAATCCCAGCTCTCTCAGCCTGTCCTGAAACCTGTTTATGGGTCTGTGGACATCTGATTTCTGATCAGAATTTTTTAGGACTCATCTCTCCTAAAAAGCATCACTCAGGCTATAAAACTTCCCATCCCTCACTGATCATTGACAGCAATTCTTAGGTCACCTTGGGGTTGAAATTCTGTCCACTGTGCATGAGATCAACAAGAAATACTTTGCAATCTCTAAGAGTAGCAGGTGCCTTGCTAGGAAGGGAATGAAAACAGGGAATGTGACTCCAGCCAACGTGCTGATGGGATGGATTTGGAGACAAAAGCCTTGAACAAAGTATGCTCTGAAACGTGCACAGTGGCCTTGAGAGTCCTCATGAAACAACTGTGGGCACACAATCTGATTTCCGAGGTTGGAAGGGGGGACACAACCTAAGGAAAGAACATTTAAGCTTTGAGAACTCTCAAATATTGCAATAGGGTGACATATTTCTTCTTCCAGTAAAGTCACACAGCAGTTTACAACACTGTATTGAAACTAAAATATGCATATCAAGAAACATTTGAAGTATTCAGCTCTGTCTAAGCGTGATTCAAAACTCTCAGTCTTATTTCCCACTGAAATGCCTCCTATTTCTGCTACTTTGCATAAAACAAACCCAATTAATTTACACAGTGGGCTCTGATTTTCCTCATTTATTTTGAGTGTCTCAAGCAAGCTGCACTGGTGGGAAGTATCAGTCTTTTAGGAGGCAGATGAGCTCAGCCACATGTGACTCCTCATGCAGTATCAGCATAAATCATGACAAACAGCAACACCAGCTCCTTTCTCCTTTCCACCCCTCTCACTCCCTTCCACTGTCTCCACTCCAAGCAAAAACGCAGAGGAAAAAAACAGCAATCAGAATAAAACCTCTCAAGTTCCACTGATTTCTTGCATCCCTCCAGAATTTACTGTTACTGTTGGATCTCCACCCTGGGAAAAACTCCACATTCAATTGTTTATAAGCCTGAGCAAGCTGGTCCATGTGGATGTAAAGTAATACTAGAGCATCACCCTCATTCACCCCTTCTCCTGCCGTGCCCAGCAACAGATAATTTCATTTCTTTTCACTCCCATCACCAGCCTAGGAAACAAATAGCACGGAAGAAGTTATTCTTTATTACCTTTTCTCAGGGTTCGAGAAACCAGCTTGTCTCCTTTGCAGCCTAACTCCTTCCATTAGGCTAAAAGCCACTTCACCTTCACCTTCCTTGCTTTCCTGGGGCTTCCACTGGCACCCAACAGCAGCCTCATGGGCACCCCTAATACACCCACTTACCTTGCCTCTTTTTCCCAAGTTTTCAAACTGAATGTCCCCAAAGGCATCGGTAGGAAGCTCCTTTGTGTGCTTCTTGTAGTTCCATTTCTCACTGGTGTTAACCTGAGTGCCCTCTATGTGTTGGTTTTCAGGGTATCCACATTTACATAAGTTTCCCCTGAAAAAGAGGGAATAGCCAGGAAATCACAGTTATCCTGAGCACAGAGAAGTGAGCTCTGGCAGCAAGGAAAGCAACAGGCAGAGCTACAGAACCAGTTGTAGCTACTGGGATTTGCCACCTGACAAAGCATCTAATCCTGCTTCCTTCCCCATAACCTGCTTCTGCCCAGCACTGGGAAGTGGTTGTGCAGGACTAGTTGGAAAAGCTAGGAGAACTTTTCCTAGGAGAAGCTGCACCACCATCCGCGAAATGCTCTGCACATCCCTGCTCCCTCGGAGGGCAAGGACAAGGGGGCATTGCCTCTCCCCTCCAGAGGCTTCCTGCACTCTGCTGCAAATCAAACCAGTTCACCTTAAAAATATACAGACAAAAATAACCCAGCAAGTTCTGAAACCCTTTCCCTGTGGGCCTGGAGGAGGAGAAGCTGGGAGGAACCAGCTCCTCCATCCTTCCTTGGTCCTTTGCCAGACACCCCATTTTAGGTGGCAGAGGAGGACCCTAAGTAAGACTTTCTGAAATAAGACTAATTTCCCTTGCTCTCTCCAAGGCATTTTTCCTCCCAGCTTCAGAGCAGAATGGGGTTAGAGAGCCCTGAGAGCTCTGTATTAGGACTTCTACAGCTGCATCAGTTTGATCACTTTTCTCTTGAGACTACAAAAAAACCAAAAAACCCATGAAAGCAAGGTTATGGTCCCCAAATTTGCATTGCACGGGTACCTGTGGCTGAAAATGGAGCCAGGATAATATCCTGTCTTAAGAGAACATCAGCCTGAGCAAAACCTAGTTAGTGTCTGTCTTTGCTGTAAAGGCTTGTGCATGAAATTTGTGATTTGGCTTTAAAAGGAAAACTTAAATTATGCAAACCTCTGATACATACATACATTGGTACAGACCAATAGCAGTACTGCATCCTTAAAAAGACCTATACATTGCTACAGTTATGCTTCAAATAGGGTATTTGATATTAAACCCTGTGACAAAGCTGCTGGAAGGTCAGACCCATAGTTTTGCATCAAGTTGTTTATGGAGTAACTCAGAGGAACCAGACCAAGGTGTGGTTGCACTGCTGAATTCACTTCTCAACAAAAAAAAGCCAGCAGTTTACTCCCTGCCTTAGAAGACAGACACCCTCAGCTCCCGGTCCCCCAGCCTTGCAAAACAATTGAAAAGTACCTCCTTACATTGACTTGGAGTCTTTTGTAAAAAAGACACATTCTCTCTTCTTAAAGTTTTCTTGGATGAAGTTGGCCAAATCCTGGAAAATAATTTTTTTAAGTTTCTTTCTGATAACTCACAAAACACAAGAAACCTCAGTAGCAGCATAGTCAGTTTAAACCAAGATACTACTTAAAACAGTACAGCAAACACTGGTCCTTCCCAAGAGTAAAAAAATAAAAGGAAAAAAAAAGACAACGTTTTCCAGGGTAGAGGCAATTTTAATTCAACACATTAAGACCCCCGAAGGAGATTTGAACAACTTCAAGTCGTGCTTTATGGGAGCTCAGTGGAATACAAAGCCTCTCCACCTTGTTTAACCATTAACTCTTCTATTAACCTTGAAACTCCAGGAGCCCAGGGGAAGCTTTCACACTTGGGGAATGCAAATTCATCCCTAACCTGCCTCTGCAAGCTACCAAAGCAGCGAGAAATTCTCGCTTGCTGATAAAGGGTTGGGGGTTGTTTGTTTTCAGGCATTGCTCGGATTTGCAAGGCAAGATTTAGCTCAGGACAAAGAGGGAAGACACAGTTGAGTTTTTACCAATTTGACACAACACTTGTGGGTAAACGGCAACTAGAGGAAGCTATTCCAAGTGGAAAAAACCATGAGAAGTATAATATCCAAAACAAAGAAAATTGAAAGGAACGTATTTAACCAGTAGAAGTCACAACGGTGCAAGACCAAAAAGACAAAAGGGAGGGGGAGGCACTTGCTAAAGCCCCAAGAATCAGCCATTAGGCCTCTTGCAAGCCGGTCAGGAGCAGGGAATCTGTCAGACAACTGCTGCCATCAGCAAATCATTCAGGCATAAAGGGGTGTTTAACGTAATTCTGTGCTGTCTGCCTTGGCCAGCAAGCTGCTCAGGAGGTCGGCGTGGTTCCTTGGACAGATTTATCTCTCTGAAACACGAGAAAAGATTTAAAACCAGGAGGGACTAAGGATGTACAATAGTTACAGGGATCAAAAGGAATGCAATATCTCCTTAAGAGATTCATCATGTCAGCAAAATCACTGCTCCTGCTCCAAGGGCACTGGCTGGGAAAACCTCTCCACAACGGGAGAAGTGACAAACCCATCGTCCTGCTCCTGACACGACCCAAGTCACAGCCACAGTCACTCCCAGGACAGCAGAGGTCCCAGGTACTCACGGCATCGCTGCCGGCCACGTCTATGCTGCGGGACATGCTGGAATACAGGAGCCTGGAATTCTCGAAATTGCCATTCCTTCGGTGCCTCATGCTGCCCATGGAAACCTGGAGGAGCACGGCAGAGGGGGGGACGGAGGAGCAGATTTCTATCACCAGACACCAGCAAGGACACTTGGTGCCCTGGGAAGGCAAGGCAGAGGTTATTTCAATCCAGTATACAGAATTAGTCAGTACATCAATCCTTAAAACACAAAACATTCCAAACCAATCCTTTCTGTTATTTCATACCTCAAAGAGACTTCCTTCTTTTTTTCCCCACTCCAAAAGAACACCAAGGCAACATCCTTTGAGAGAGGAACACACCTTATATGCCACCCCACTCAATTCACGCCCAAATCTCAACTCTGTCTCTGATGGGACGCTCAGGACTTGGCTGTTCAGGGTTCGTGCACCTGAGTAGTACCTGACCCAGTGTATTTACAAATGAAAGGGGATTTTCGGGTACATTTGGAGTACAAAGATAACAAACTGCAGTGTTGAAGCACCTGGCCCAGCAGTGACCCAGGAGCTTCCAGCAGCACCTGAGCAGCGATCCCACAGGTCTGTCCAGCCTGGAACAACCACAGTCAACACGTGCAGTCCTAAGAGTGAGTGGACTGGATACTGGATCTAAGAGTTAGGAAGTCACCCTTGGGAGCAAATTGATTTCAGGTGCCCTCTAAAACACATCCCTGTATTAAACTCACCGTCTTTGAAGGAGCATCACTGCACTTGCAGCAAAGCACAGAACAAGGCTGTACTTATTCTACTGCAAATACTTCCATTCCCTTCATGCTGCTTTCTGAATAATACTGGAAAAAGCCTTTTCCTGAAAGGAAAGCTGCCAGCCAGCTTACATGGAGAACTCAAGAGTCCACTTGTCCTTCCAACACTGTTTTCTCTCCTGCCTTTACCTCTGGCTGTGTGCTCTGGGGTGATCCTGCCACTGCATGGTACAAAGCATCCCTCCCAGACACAGAAATACTCGTCCTGCCGCCCTGCTGAGCCATCTCCCTGTAACTTCTGAGAGCCAAGAACCGGTAAGTGTGAAACAATTTGCTTAGGGCACCTGACACAGCGGGAATGGCTCAGGCTGTGGAAGCTGCAGTTGTAAATAAGATGATGGGAGTGTGATGTGGGCAACCCCCAAAGCAGAAAGAAAAGGCAAGATTCCACATAACGACATATATTTATATTTTACAGTTATTTTAAAAATCCTTTGAAAATCATGTTGTGCTGAGGGGGAGCATGACTGACTCGTTGTTTACTGTGCATGGTAGAAGCCCTCACCTACTTCCCCCAAATTCTGCAGCATGCCTGAGATCTCCATCATTGCTAAGTGATGGGAAAAAACCCCTCTTCTTCCTTCCCAGCTTCTGCACAGGATAGGAGTGATTTAAACCCAAGAAAAGGCAAAAAGTTGAAAGTGAAGAGATGGATGGCTGGGCCCAGAGAGGCTCCAACCTGGCAATGAAGCATCGTGGAGACAAAGACATGAAAAAAAACACCTTGTCAGGCACAGTTTGCAAGAAACCCCAGGAAACTGGGACTTGGCAGCTGATAGGGATGGAAACCTGAGGCTGGAGGATACTGGCAACCGTGCACTGGGAGACATATTTCCTAATAACCCAGAAAGCAATTCTTATCATTTCATATGATTAATGTTCAGTGTAAAGATGTTTTCAAAGCTGTAATTCCAGACAAAAGCTCCGTGGAGGGAAATTACGCTTTGGTCGTGATCTATGGAACTTATTTATTGACAGTTTTACTTGCGTTGCTGGTTTGTTTAATAAGTTTAACACCAGGAAACTGGCTACGGACATAACCGTACAGAGAAGATTAAAAGGAAAGGGTATTAAATTATTAATTCCAAAGACTACAGGATTTCAAGTTTGCCTCGCTGCAGAACTGATAAGAATGAACGTGCTGCAAATAAAAAAGTATGAGATGGCAAAGAAGCCCTGAAGACGTGGGATTTAATTTTAAATTCAAGTTCTGAAAAGCATCACTGATAGCTCAGTGTTTGGCTGGTATCAGGGAGGACGCCCATTAACCCCACAAGTGTTAGAGATAACACAGCAATTATACACATCTTAAAAGATGTGACAAAGCTGCAGCCCACAGAACAGGCAAGCCGTTCATTTTCTATCACATTTCAACCCACTGAATTAAATGTATAAGACATTTAATGCATTAAAGCATAACTTTATAAAGTAACACATATTGAGAGTAATAGCCACTAGAAAAACACCAGAATAATCCTCTAAAACGTAAAGGCTAATACTGTGACTTCCACAGCACTTGAAGGAGCATACTCCAAGGAAATCTTCAGCTTGGAGGTGACTAAAAAGAAAGAGAAGTAACAAAAAATAGCTAGTTCTAAAGAGACTTCTAAACAGGCTTTTAAAAACTTGTCCGCAACTGAGAAAGCAACACCAGCCTCCATTCCCAGGCAGCTTCCAGATAAATGGAACCACTATCTGCGTTTAACATAATCCCACAACTGGCTCCGTGTGAAAGCTCTCAGAAAGCAGAGCATGTTGGCAAACTCCAGCTGCAGCACTACCCCAAATCCAGCAAATTCAGAGTCTCTACTCATAAGGACAGAAAACAATCCAATGTCTAATCACGTACCACAGACTCACCAAAGCCTCCAGGACGTGCCCCAGCAATCCTACTGCAGTCATGGCTCCAGGAGGCAGGTTTTGATATACTTCAGCTGGCAAAGCCCCACCTTTATCTGTGTCACGCCTTCCTTTTGAGGGAGGGAGGGACCAGGAGCAAGGAACGGCAGGATTGCTCACCAATTAGTAACAGAAGTCGCCTAATTGCAGCGGGCTGCAGGAGATGAGAGCTGCAGGTTATTTGTGAGAGCAGCAGTGCTGCTGTCCCACCTGCTGTCCCACCTGCTGCCCATGCTCTGCAGCTCCATGTCAGCAACAGCACTACTAAAAAGCCAGAGGTATAAGAAAATGCTTGGGGGAATAAAGAATTAGATTTTAAGGCAGCAGAAAATAGTGGAGCACTTGTAAAATCAACACCTATTAATCTAATTTTCTACAAGGTTGTTGAAGCACTGGTGAATGCAACAGAGGATTATACAAGTGATGTTTTGACCCCAAAAAATATTAGTCAGTGTCTTAATTTTCTGTTTGACACTCAGCTGGTTTTGTCCCGCCTTTAAGTTAAAGCTTTTCACTTTGGTAAGAGCAATTCCTATTGCAGTGATATTGGATTATCCCCAGTCCACTGCCCTTTCAGAAAGCAGAGCTATACCATGTGCTGCTGGAGAACCTTCTACAGCCCCGTTTGAACCACCCAGTTTGAACCCACTTTAGGCCAGGTTGGGCTCGGGGCAGCCTGGGCTAGTGGAAGGTGTCCCTGCCCATGGCAGAGGGTGGGACTGGGTGATGTTTAAGATTCCCTCCAACCAAAACCATTCCTGGATTCTAAGTCTCAGAGTGATCTTTCCTTCTGTGATGGAGTGTAGGTTTATTATCCCAAATCTCACATTACCTTGGCATATACACATCTCCATTTGCATGAATTGTCACTTAGGGGCTTCACTTCACATGGCAGCATCCAAGAGCTCCCTACCACGTGGGGGTGTTCAGCCCAAAGTTCACATCCAGGTGATTCCCTGCCCCTAAGGAATGCACAGAAAACACAGATACCAAAGACAAGCAGGTAAACCTGAGAGGGAGCTAAATGGCTCCTGTGCATCCTCTGGCCCCCTGCTTCCCAAGAGCAGAGTTTTCATGGACAGCAGCATGTTCCTGTCCATGTGGTCATGCATCAACATCCCTGAAGTGCTGAACGTGAGTCTTGACTGACACCTGCAGCAAGTCCCTCAGCAGCTGTCCTGGGAACCAGCCTGACAACAGATCACAAGAAAAGAAACTGCTGAGAGCAGGGATGGGGAACTCAATGATCCCCTTAAAACCATAGCTGCAGAGCTGGGCAACAAGCCCTTCTGCCTGGTCCTCTAAGGCAGAGCAGGCCTGGAGAGGAGACAGATTTTTGGGGCCACTTAATTGTTCTCAAGTGCAGCAAATCCCCACGTACCTCAAGCAAGAAACCGGGCACCCCAAGCGTAATTCAGAAACGCTCTCTGAACGTGTCAGGAAGTTTTTAGGGCCAAGATAATCAATATTTTCCGAAGACAAGAGCTCCTCCATGGGCAATAATTCACACTTGCCAGCATTCCTGCATTCTTGGTCTGAGAATACATATACAGATGTTCCAAATCTACAGTAATATGCTAATATTTGCTGTATTCCAGCAAATCAGGTCCGACTGCAGCAGAGAGATTTCAGTGAGAATTTGCCAAACTGCACAGCATTTCCTGTCTTCTCTAATTCACAGAAGTTATATTACTCTGGTTTTGGACTAAAAAGAGGTATTTGTGAACAATCAAATGGAGTTGTTATGGATCCTGGCCCAAGAGCTGTTTCTATGATGAGTGAAGTAAAAGCTGTCATCCTCAGCATCAGCACTGTTGTTATTGATGCAGGAATCAAAATGGAGCAAGCACTTTTATTACAAAGAAATGGAAATTCATGTAGATATAAAAGCATTTTCCATTGTACTGAGAGCAGAGAAGAAACTGTAAGGAAGAAAGATGCTTCTGCATGTGAATAAACCTTATGATCATTTTTTAAAAAGCATAAAGCCAGAAAGCAGATTTAAGGAAAATGGCGCCTGAAGAGCTACAGGGATTTGAGCCCTGCTGCCCCCACTGTGCAGAAAAATAGGTCCAATAGGATTTAATTCCATGGCTGGTAGAAAATCACCTTTTATCCCAGGACCTGTGAGAGCTTGAGAGGGGTTTTTTGAGGGTGAAGGCAGAATTGATGGTGCCCCTGTGAAGTTAAATGATATCACACAATCCCAAGGTGGTTTGGGTTGGAAGGCACCTTAAAGCTTATCCAGTTCCACCCCCTGCCATGGGCAGGGACACCTTCCACTAGCCCAGGTTGCTCCAACCTGGCTTTGGACACTTCCAGGGATGGGGCAGCCACAGCTTCTCTGGGCAACCTGGGCCAGGGCCT